GTGCACCTTCTATGCTGCCTGAGTCCCAGTGCACCATCTGCCTAGAAAGAGACATAAGACGTCTTAAGCAGACCACTGAGAGGGGAAGGTTGCCGGGCATGGGGGTAAGAATAGAGCGAAGCCAAAACATAAGCACTGCTCTTCTGTGGCACCACAGAAGCTGGCATCATTGATTGCAGCATCAAGGCAGTTGCAGTCACGTCTGAAGCCTGAGGGAGCGCCTTCTACAACTGTGGCACCATGCCATTCTGAGACCATCTCGGTAGTGACCACACTGGAGTTATTTGTGGTAGCAAGAGATCTGCTGAGCCTTTCAGTGCCAGTTTCTCTGACAGTGCAGGAGACTGTGCTCTCGGTACCAGCAGACAGAGGTGGTGCAGCGCTCGGAACCGTGTCAACCTGCATTGCATCAGTACCATCAAAGGGGAAGCCTGCAACGTTGACTGCTCAGTGTCCTTCTCTGACTTGACACTGGATTCCGACACCATTTGGACTTTATGGCAACTCTAAAGTTTTTGTGGGTGTATACTCCAGTCCCATCCAGTTAGCACTTACATCCACAGCAGACCCACTATTACTTTGCCCTTGCTTCTTGCCAGGATCTGCAGAGAAAAAATGAGTAGGGGTTGTAGATATAGACCTCTTTCTCCTTCTTCCTCTGCATCATGGTCTAGTCCATCTAGACACCTGGGGGTGCTAAATAGGCATTTTGATAGGATGCTCAAGCTCGCCATGCCAGTTTCCATTTTCCCCACACTTGCAAACTGCCTTTCCCACTTCCCCAGTGCTTGGTCCTGGATTAGCTCAGACTGATGGGTATTAACCACTGTGGAAGTGGGATATACCGTCCAATTTATTTCTACCCAACACTCCTGCCCTGTCTCTCTGCAGGGGCCACTCAGGAGGAGCTCCTACAAGAGGTTCAGTCTCTCCTTCAGGTAGGAGCCATAGAAGAGGTTCCTCAGTGTCACCGAGGAAAAGAGTTATATTCCTGTTATTTCCTAATCCTGAAACCAAAGGGAGGTCTCAGACCAACTTTAGACCTGCACCAACAAATACCTCAAAAAGATAGTTTCACGCGGTCACTTTGCCTTCCAGCCTTCTATTATTCTATATCTGTATCTTGGAGATGGGTATGCTGCCCTCAATTTAAGAGAGGACTACTTTCATGTGGCATTTTATCAAGGTCACAAAGTTTTTCAGGTTCGTAGTGAATCACTTTCATTATCAGTTCATTGTGCTGCCTTTTGGCCTGTCAGCAGCGTCTTGGGTTTTCACAAAATATGTCTGGTAGCAGTGTTTCTGAGGAGACTAGGAGTACAGCTCTACCGTACCTGGATGACTGGCTAGTTAAGGGCTGGTCCAGGGCTCAGGTTCTCTCCTGCGTTCAACTCATCCTATCATCCTTCAGAGCTCTAGGTCTGTTTGTCTAAGTTGATCAGTCTTTCCTTTGTCCAGTGCAGAGAATAGGGTTTTTATAGGAGGACTGCTGGACTCTGTTCAAGCCAGAGCTTTCCTTTCAGACACAAGATTTCAAACAATTCATTCTCTTGTGGCAGACCTTAACATTCACCCAATCACATCAGCTCAAAACTGTCTGAGACTCCTGTATGACTTTATACACATGTAGTCCAACATGCCAGGCTGCAAATCATGACTCATCAAAGTTGTCTGGCCTCCGTTTATTCACCAAGTTAGCACTATCTGAACACTCTGCTCACTATGCCTTCACAGGTACCGACTTTGCTAGATAGGTGGACAAACCCACTCAGTGTTTGTGTGGGCATTCCCTTTGTCTGCCCCGAGCCTTTACTGACACTGGTGATGGATGTATCTGTCCTGGTGTGGGGAGCTTATCTGGATGCCCTCCGAACTCAAAGTTTGTGGGCCTCAAGGAATCTCTCTCTTCACATTAGTGTCAGAGAGCTAAGGGCTGTCTGCCTCGCCTGTCAGGCCTTCCTACCACATGTCAAGGCCAAAAGCTTATTTGGTCTCTCAGACACTGCTGTGGCAATGTTTTACCTCAACAGGCAGGGGGAACCCGCTTGTCCCTTCGTTGTCAGGAGGCAATTCACCTATGGAACTTTTTCATTGCCGATTCAATCAGTCTCGAAGCTCCTTACCTTCCAGGGATGCAGAATGAGCTGGTGGACCACCTAACCAGATTATTTACAAATGGTCATGAGTGGTTTCTCTGCCCAAATGCAGCCAGACAGTTTTCCCAATTTTCCAGATAGACCTATTTGCAAACAAGGCCAACAGGAAATGCCAACAATATTGCTCCCTACAAGGGCACAGCTCTGGTTCCATTGCAGATGGTTTCCTGCTACCCTGGACAAATAAGCTCTACTATGCTTTTTCCCCCAATCCCATTCCTACACAGAGTCCTGCTAAAGAACAAGCAGGACCAGGTCCAAGTTATGTTAATAGCCCCAGAGTAGCTTTGATGCACTGGTTCGCCATTGTATTGGATCTGTCAGTTGCAACTCCAATTTCGCTCCTGTTGCACCTGGACTAGATCTCCAAAGATAATGGTCAGCTGCTCCACCCAAACCTGTGGCCCTTCATTTAACAGCCTGGAGGCTCCATGGCCAAGTCCTAGGGGGAGTCTAGCTTGAAGCAAGTTCACCATGTCCTGTTAGAAACAGTTAGAAAGCCCTCTTCCAGAGCTGCTTACATGTCAAAATGGAGGCCTTTTTCTGTCTGGTCTTGTCAGTTTGGAGTCTCGCCAATGCAGTCCTCTGTCCAGCATATTCTGGACTATTTATTGCATCTAAAACAGCAGTAGTTAATGGTTCTTCTATCAAAGAAATCTTCTACCAAATGATTTTTGGCAGCAATATCAGTTTTCCATCCCTATGTGGATAACCGTTCTATATTTTCTAATGATATAACAATCAGATTTGTGAAGGGACTGGAAAAGTTGTACCCTCAAATAAGGGAACCTATCCCCACCAGAACTTGAACTTTAGATTTGTCAAAGCTCATGGGGCCACCATTTGAGCCTCTACCATGTTCCTTACTGCACCTATCTCTAAAGGTGTCTTTCCTGGTAGCTATCGCTTCAGACAGGAAGGTAGCCAAATTGTGTGCTCTGACATCTGAACCACCTTATACAATACTCTTTTAAGGATAAGGTGTACTCGTGCCCTCATCCAAGATTTCTCTCAAAAGTGGTATTTAATTTTCATATTAACCAGTCAATTTACTTTCCTACATTTTACCCCAAACTGCATGCCAATAGAGGAGCAACGTTTGCACACCTTAAATGTCAGAAGAGTGTTGGCATCCTATGTAGGGAGGACTAAAGCGTTTTGTTTGTCAACCCAGCTATTGGTGGCCTTAGCAGACAGAATGAAGGATCATCCTGTCTCTTGACAAAGAATTATGTTTTGGATAACTTTCTGCCTTCATGTTTGTTATGATCTGGCAGGCATTTCCCTGCGGGGCAGACTGACCGCACATTCCATGATATGACAGGCAGTCTCTACAGTGTTCCTTGCTCAAGTCGGAATCCAGGACATTTGTAGAGTGGCAGTCTAGTTTTCAGTTCATACCTTTGCATCCTATTATGCCAGTACTCTGTACTCCAGAAATGATGCTAAATTTGGACAAATTGTACTCCAGTCTATGTGTACATGAACTCATTGTACATTATGCCTTGTGAGTCACCGAGTGGAATATACATGTGCAATCACTCAAAGAAAAAATTGTTTCTAGCCTTTCACGAAAGCTTATGCTCTAATAAATTTGTTAGCCTTTAAGGTGCCACAAGACTCCTCCTTGTTTTTGCTGAAACAGACTAACACGGCTATCCCTCTGAAACCTTTCATAACTGTTGTTCTTAGAGATGTGTTGTACATGTCCATTCCACGACCCACCCTCCTAGCCCTTTGCTTCGGGGTGGTCCAGCAAGAAGGAACTGAGGGAGCTCAGGGGTGGGTGGGCCCTTCATACTGGCACTGGTGCATGGCAGAAGAAAGTGCTTAAGCTGCCCTGATGGGTACCACTGAGGAAAAAATTTCTAACAACTGTGCACAGGGTGCACGCACACTTGGAATGGACATGTGCAACACACGTCTAGGAACAACAGTTACGAAAGGTTAATAACCATTTTTAAATAGGAAATGTGTACTTTTGTTAAGTCTTGGATGTTGGAAAATATGGTTTGAATAAGCTGTTGTTAGTAAAGTGATTATTAGAAGAGGCTGATCTATTGAGCTGCATGCAGTAACACCGTATTTTGTAACCACAAGGGGAATACTGCTGTAATCAGTGAGCCAGAAGGAAGAATATTTTTCAGTGCCTAATAACAATTGCAAAACTTTTTTGAAATCCCATATCTAAAAGCATAGACCTAATTAATTCAAGACCTTGCCACAAAAATGACAGATGTAGAGTAGTAGCATTACTATTCCATAACTAAGAATTTACTTTCTGCTTTCCATGTCTGTAATGCAGTAATTGAGACAGGACTGAGGTGGTGGCAGCTGATGGCATGGGCTAACCTTTGGTGGGTATATCTGGAAGGAAGCTTGGGCATAGTCACCCTTACAGCTGCCTCAGAACCTAAAATTTTCATAGGTAGGGAATTCTATTCTCTCTGAAGTTGGGAGTGTGAGACATGAGTAAGAATCCTGAATGATAGTTTTTGCAGTGATACCTGCAGTAGTAATACTTTGAAAATAAGAAATTCTTCCTTATCAAACTGAACTGCGTAAAGAATTTCAGGTACACTGGATTGTAATTGCGTGAGTTGAAATTTGACTAATACACTTGATATGCTATATTGCACCTGAATAATGCTATAGTACTGGTGCTATATAGCGCTATGGATTTTAGTATTTTACTTTAAACAATACATTTTAGTTTTGTTCAGAGTCAATGTTTTGGTGCAGAAAGTACTCTTAACAAAAAAAATTGTAATATCTTGTTTCTCTTTCCCTTCTTCTGTTGCCCCTTTAACTGCCTCCCCTTCTCACTTTAAAAAAAAAAAAAAGTTCTGGAAAATTTGTCCCATGGAGCATCTTCTGACTCGCCTTGAAGTTGATTCACGTCCTGTGTCACGCCGCTTAGTAAATCTCCTATTCAACTCTTTCTTGCCTGTTAATCAACCTGAGGAGGTATGGTGTGAACGCTGTGTTACGCTAATCCAGATGAATCCAGCAGCAGCCAGAAAATTCTATCGGTATGCTTATGAGTATACTGCTCCCACCAACATAGGTAAAGTATTGGACACTACAAGAGTCCTGGAAATGTCAATTTTATGTTACTTGTTTCACACTTAATTTGTCTCCAATACTTGGGGGCCTTCAGTATTGTCAAGTGGCTGACTCTCTACAAAAGTCTCTTCTGAAAAATTCTTCCAAATTTCCCTAATTGAAAATGTTCTTCGACCAGCAGTATCAGGGAGATACATTGCAGGAAGTTTTTCTTTCTAGCAAAGAATGCTATTGAATCCATGCCAGCAAGCAAACCAGGAGAGTGGTTTTATTTCCAGAACTTGCTAATGTCAGAAAGAAATAAAGAATCTGCACAGAGTGATTCCATGCTCAAGACATCTGGTCACCCAAAGAACAATCCTTACACATGCATTCTAGAGATGAGGGTGATTGTGTGGACACTGAGAGATTTCAAAGATAGTAGCCTAATTATGTCAAGTATCAGGGGGTAGCCGTGTTAGTGTGTATCTACAAAAACAACAAGGAGTCTGGTGGCACCTTAAAGACTAACAGATTTATTTGGGCATAAGCTTTCGTGGGTAAAAACCTCACTTCTTCAGATGCATAGAGTGAAAGTTACAGATGCAGGCATTATATACTGACACATGGAGAGCAGGGAGTTACTTCGCAAGTGGAGAACCAGTGTTGACAGGGCCAATTCAATCAGGGTGGATGTAGTCCACTCCCAATAATAGATGAGGAGGTGTCAATTCCAGGAGAGGAAAAGCTGCTTCTGTAATGAGCCAGCCACTCCCAGTCCCTATTCAAGCCCAGATTAATGGTGTTAAATTTGCAAATGAATTTTAGTTCTGCTGTTTCTCTTTGAAGTCTGTTTCTGAAGTTTTTTTGTTCAATGATAGTGACTTTTAAATCTGTAATAGAATGACCAGGGAGATTGAAGTGTTCACTTACTGGCTTATGTATGTTACCATTCCTGATGTCC